ACACGCATGCTGGACAAAGAAGAAAAAAAAAACGCGATTGTATCAATCAATGTTTTTTTTCAGTTGGATTTGGCGTTGGTGCCATTACCACTGGCAATACTAATTTGTCCTAGAACAAAATTGCACACAAGTGTTATTTCGATAAATGTTGATACCTTAAAAGGGCCCTCCGGAGTGTTCTGTGATGGTCAATTTATGGCGGTAACTCAATCTACAGGCCCTAAGGATCTTAAAAATCATAGAATCACGGTCATGCGCGGCGGATTTCCCTATTAAAATTGCTATCAAAGTCCCCGGGACGCCCCCCTTTCTGAGATGACCCCGGAAAACGGGAGGGGCATCTCTTTACGCGTCAGCCAATAGCAAACGAAGGATTCCGGCGTCACTTCGCGTCACCAACGCGGCCGACCGCCAACCCGCGGAGGAATCTCTCGAGTACGCGCGGACCGTCGTCAAGGAGCCCGGACTGCCCGGACTTTATGCTCGGCAGTCGTCGTTCGTCGCACCGCACCGTCGCGCTGCTATTGCAATACGAAGTCGCATTCCACAAATGACAAGGAAAAGTTTGACTCGTTAAAGTGGAAGGATCGCAAAGCTAGCTTCGGAGTCGGGATCCACGGGAAGAAGGAACACGTGTCCCGCAAACGCACGCCTGCAGACGCCCCGGGAAGCAGACGAGCCTGCGCGCCGACGCATCACCCCCACCCCCTAGCAACACGCTTACGGGGACAAAACATAGTTCGCTGGTTTTAAAGCGATAATTGCGGACTATGTTCCCCGCATCACAATCAGTTTACGTTTTTCTCAAACTCTAATTTACAACAAGCTTAAAAAGTGTTGAAATAATTAAGTTCGCATTCACCGCGAGATGCAGCATTTCCATTGGTCAAGTTTTAGCGATGGGCAGGGATGGGGGATTGTCTTCCAAGAGAAAATAGACCCGGTATATTTCTTCTCCCATCTGCTTAATAAACGGTTTTGTAATATAAAACTTTGTATACATATTAATTGGCATCTACTACGCAATATAACATAAACAGACGATCGCAGAAAGCTCCGGAGGGACCCTTTAAAATAAATAACCTACTGGAGATAGTCGCTGGGAAGCCTGTATTCATTCCATGTTATTGCATCAACCTACCGCGCGGCCGCAAGAGGTAGAGTGGAAAAGGATGAAATAGAGAAGTTTTAACTGTCCTTTTCTCCACTTTATGTAATTTCTATGGTCTATAGCTTTCACGGTTACAAAAACACAACCTCACCTTCCTCTCAGCACAAATAGTATGACCGAAACCGGAAACATAAACAGTGACTTTTGTCTTGACCCGATAGTACAATGACCTGTTGTCCTGACCGAAATTTGAAAGATGTATGTGGTGGCATTTCCCCAGGACACTACGCGCTGATTAAACCATTAATTGTAAAGTATATTTGTGTGTGTGTGTGGGGGGGCGGGGGGGGGGGGGGGGCGGGGATCGAAATTCAGAGTTTATCAGATATATCCGAATAGACAAAACTTTTACAGGCGGGTGTTTTTCGAATTTATCCGAAAACACGAAACCCTAGTTATGAGTCACATTCTCTCCCTCCACCCCCCCCCCCCCCCCCCATACACACACCGCTCCAAGCGCCCTCAAAAGTACTGAACTTTTTCAGTTAAGACCGATTTTGGCAAAATGAATTCGGCGTACTTTTACCAGTTATATTCGGTTTAACCCGAAAACGCTGAACCCTACATATAGCGTTTGAAGTTAACAAACGCACGTCTCAAATAAGGCACTGTAAAAGAATTGAGGTGCCAGGCCAATTCGTCGAAAGCCAACTCGTCGACGGCCAATTTTTCGAATCTGTTCTTTTGGAAGCAAGTTCGTATTGGGGAGTATTTTCGATGCGCGCATGACGGTTCCCAGGGCAGTACCGAAGCCCCCGCTGGTGTGTATTTTGGCTATTTTGTAGCGTGAGCTACACTGGCCAAGGTTGAGCAGTTTCGCGTGGCTCGCATAATGAGCCGTGCTCCGTGCTGTGCATGGGCGAGGGGCAGTGACGTCGCACGGCGCACAGCTGGCGCCCCGGAGTCGCCGCCGCCGCGCGCTAAGCCGCCGCTGCGCCCGCCCTGCCGGTCTGCGCATTCCAGAGTAGTGACGTCATAGCCACGGCAGACGCACTGGCGCCGCCGCGTGCCCAGCTGTGCGCCTCCGTTGCGCAGTAGCCAAGTCTGACGCTGCACCGGAGCCACTTGATAGCGCCTCTCATTTTGTGCGCATAAGCTCACGCTACGTATATCCTGGCATAGCCAAGCTTAGCCACCGCAATTTTTTCGAGCAGTTTTGCTTATTTTGACGCACAGTTTTTCTGGTGATATCGTCTACAATAAATAATTCAATCGCACGGCAATGTGCTGTCGTTAGTTGTTAAAAGGAAAAACAGAAAGCGTGTGCGGAAGCGGTGTGTTCAGCCCATGCTGCAGTGTAAGGCCACATCATTGAGGCTGCGGCACGTTACTGCTTCACCGGTTTTCACTCGATCAAGGCCTTCGTCGGCAATAATTTGTGAATTTAACTCAAAACGTACAACTTCTCGCCTGCAAGCTCCAGGAGATTTTATTCACGGTGAATGAACCCCGCAAAATCGGTGCCCACCCATGGTACACCTTGAATACGTTCCACATTAAAGTCACGTGATCTTACCGGTTCTATCAATGCATCTGTAATCGACGCACCTCCCGCTTTTTTTTTTTGAGGAGGGGGGGGGGGGGGTGCAGGGGGACGTTCTACGCTTAGGTGGTAATTACGAAACAACGAGTACTACGGAACCTCACTGGGCCGCCACAAACCAGGCAGTTCGTAACTTGAACTTATGAATGTTTTTTTTTCCCAATAACTTTTCCTCTTTCCCTCATACTTCAAAAAAGACAAGACAACGCAGCCAACATCAACGGGAAGGTACCCCCTCTAACTACCCAATCTCTTCAGAGATTAGCGTAGTTAAGTAGTAGTAACTACTGCTAACTTTATTTGTTTTTAGCCATCACACAGCAGCAGCACTCGGGACACTGACTTGAGTGCGATCCCGTCGCCGCCAGCGTACATTTTTTTTTCCATTGTTTCTTCACTAGCTGTTAAATAATGCCATGCAATGTCCAACCCTTTTTCTTTTCGTTCTGTTTTGTTTTCATAAAACACTACCTATTACAGCCTTTTCACATGCGTGCTGTTTTGTCGTCGTGCTGTTTTGACGCCGTGCTGTTTTGGCACGGGATCTTCTGTCGCTGTGCCGTTTTGACGCCGTGCTGTTTTGTCGCGTGCTATTTTGACGCGTGCTGTTTTGTCGCCGTGCTGCTTTGACGCTGTGCTGTTTTGACGCGTGCTGTTTTGACCGTGCTGTTTTGTCGGGTGCTGTTTTGTCGTGTGCTGTTCTGTCGCGTTCCCGGTTGCATTCGTTCATAAGCATAGCGGTCGCTCCGAACGTAAATGTGTGAAAGGGCCTTTACAATTTTCTGTTTAACACGAAATACACAAAAACAAATTGTTTCCACTCATATGTTTGTACATTTGTATTGCAGAACGAGGTACCCTCAGAAACAGCTACTTATGATTACTGTTGATTAAAGTTTTGAATCAGAGTAGCGATGTGGGCGAGTTGGTTCATGCTTAGAAATAATGGAAACAGCGCGCAAACGACAAGGACGGGAGGAAAAGGAGTACACAAGACGAGCGCTGAACTGACAACTGAATATTTATTGAAAAGGACCCAACGAAGAAAACACCCACAAAAAAAAAAACTCGCATCAACACGTGTCCATGAAAGTAATCTCCTTCTTATGTAAACACACAGAAGTTTGACTCACGCAGTTCTGTTCCCCCTCCTTCTTTATTCCATACGCTTCTAAAATTTCCCTGGCTGTTTTATCTGCTCCCCTCCCCATGATTGTGATCTTATTGAAATCAGGATGACATTTGCATGTTCCGCAGTGCAGGGGCAAATGCCCTCCTGCTGTTGAAAGGGCACGTGAATAAATGAAAGGGCACGTGAACATGACTGGTCGCTTAGTTCAACAGCAGGAGGGCATTTGCCCCTGCACTGCGGAACATGCAAATGTCATCCTGATTTCAATAAGATCACAATCATGGGGAGGGGAGCAGATAAAACAGCCAGGGAAATTTTAGAAGCGTATGGAATAAAGAAGGAGGGGGAACAGAACTGCGTGAGTCAAACTTCTGTGTGTTTACATAAGAAGGAGATTACTTTCATGGACACGTGTTGATGCGAGTGTTTTTTTGTGGGTGTTTTCTTCGTTGGGTCCTTTTCAATAAATATTCAGTTGTCAGTTCAGCGCTTGTCCTGTGTACTCCTTTTCCTCCCGTCCTTGTCGTTTGCGCGCTGTTTCCATTATTTCTAATTAAAGTTTTGCCTTTTTCTTACGGTTGTATTGGCTGTTCACCCTAAGCTGACATTGCAGCAGAAGATACGTGCTGGATGGACCAAATTCAGAGCCAGCTGTGCGGGATGTCACCGCACTCTCTGGCGCGATGACAATGCGCGTTGATGTTGCATGTTGCTGGCTCCGATTGGTACATCCAGTGCATACCTTCCACTGCACTGTCAGCTTAAGGTGAATCGAGTATATGGCACCTCAACTCGGTCATGCCAGAATTTTGTACTCGCTCTCGTTTTTCTTTGTGAATAAATCAGTCTGCTTCCCTTGCCAGTAAGTGATCGACAGTTATGGTCTACGTCAGGCAGCAAACATATAAGCTCTTCCTCTAGATGACAAGTTTCTATTTACTACAGTGACTACATGAGGGTTGCCTTCTGTCAAATGGCACCGTGTATTCATCTGCCCAGCGCAGCATTTGGGCTTGCAGAAATTTGCAGGTATTTTCGAGAGTATCATAATTTAACTCGGATTTACTTTTCTCAGTTTTCGGGCAGGACAATCTTACTGTCTCTAACAGGTAAAAGCTCGACACAAACTTAAAACGCTTAAAACTTGCCTGTGTGCGAGGTTGATGGCACTGGACTTTTGGGGACCTCCTCTACTAGACGACTTGGCGAGTCCTCTAAACGAAATGAGGTGCACGGATGAGCATGATCAAAATATGAAATTTGTACACAAGAATCATACCGAGCAGTTCAAAGCCTTCAAAAGATGGTGGTTCAGCCAACAGATGCTCCTCGCTTGAAGCACCAGGCCTCCCCCATTGCGGTTCTGAGGCAGCTTTTGAAAAAACAGGTAGAAATTGAATGGTAATGCAGGTTATAATAGCTCCTTTTTTTAAAGACTCATTTCGTAATAAGAAAGAGAAGCATGCACACCAATTTTCATTGCAAGGGCCAAACAAGGCCTCCGTCTGTGAGCCTTTTCCTCGGCAAGCTCTTTCTGAAGTCTTTTTATTTTCCCCTCTTTCTCCTGGAGGAGATGTCGAAGGATCCTATCCTCTTGAGGGGCTGCCCTCGTCTCCTGGGTCTGGGTAAAAATACACTGCCACAGTTGAAATATCATAACGTCAGAATGCAAAAGTATTGAGGTGTCTGGTAATTCTGCACCTTTCGCTTTTTCTTATAATCTGCAGCGATGCCATCAAGCCTCGACCGCTTGCCAATCTCCTTCCGGTTCTTTTTTTCCTTTCGTCCAAGGTCTTGGACATGCTAAATGAAAACAGTAGAAATATCAAATATTTACTCAAGTAGTGTCATACACAGAAGATAAGTAAGCTAGTAAGCTTTGCATGCACAAAAGTACTACGGAACAGCCTCCACCACCAGTGAAAGCTACTGGAAAAATGGGCATGAGAAGTAATTTCAGTTCCTTATTTTATCGGGATACTCGCTGAGAAGCAGCTAGGCCTAACCCGGGAAAAAAAGCAGTTGCTATTTGTATGATTTTTGCTACAGTATGGACTGGTTCTGCGCTACGATTTTTACTGCGTGCCTGCCCCAAAACATTCCGCGTTGCGCATGGGCAGAAAAAAGTGAAATAGAGATGTCTCTTGTATCCTCTTCTACCTCTGTATTTCACACTTTCCTCTCCAAAGTTCTGCTGGCCCTATCCTGGTATAATATATGCTTTCCAAACACTATTTATTTGCCTTCCCCGGTCGCGTTGGCGTTTAGTCCATGTGTGTGGCGTTCAACCATTTTTTTTAGGACACAATGAGCTTAAAATGTTCTTAATATCCTTTGGAGATGGCATCTTTGTTAAGTCTTTAAGAGCAATTACAGAGCAAAACTATGATTCTTGCCTTTCTTGCAGGCTGCTTCTGCGTTGCAGTACTATCCAAAATCCTAGGAATCGGGTACCGCTTCAGTTGCATCTTCTTCAAAAAATCATCAAAACTCTCTGTAAAAAAAAAGACACGTTTAAATAGCACTCTTGTTTTAGTGACATGAGTATAATAGGTTCTACACGCGTACTGAGACGAAAGGAAAGCAGTTAAGAGTTACTGCCCCAGTCTCTTCCTGCCCAAACTGGTCTTTGCTATGTAATCACGCCTAAATTTTGAAAAAAAAAGCTGCCTTATGGCTTGAAACCACCTTTCGCACTCGCAGGACGTTTTTAACCCACAAAAGCATGGAAGGTTATTTTAACCCCGTATAAATTACTTACCGCCCAGAAGGATAACGTTGGCGTTGTAGAAGTCCTCATCTTCGCCTTCGCCGGAATCTGAAACCCAGTAGGCCTCGTACAGCCGGGTCGCGTCGAAGTCGGCAGCATCGCGAGGCGTGAATTTCTTTACCAGGGAAGTGGGTAAAACCGAATGCACACCATCAGTGAACTTGACGTAAGCATGCATTTCGCATGGATCTATTGCGTGATACCAGAGCCATATATGCGTGATACCAACGTTGCGTGACAACAAAACTCGAAAACACGCCAGAGAACAACAAAAACAACGTTTCAGTTCACTTTACCCACGTGCGCTACGGCAAGTAGGACGCAGTGTTGCCAGACGGAGTCAAGCGAAGACCTAGCGGAACACGTTGACGACGAAGTGTTGGGAGCAGGTTCAGTGGAAGAACTCCTGACTCTATGCTTTGAAGAGTTCGGGGAGCGCACATTGCCCCATTCGACTACCACAAAAGCTGGTGCCATCCCAATGATTATGGCGTACGCAGTCTCCGAACGATCGACCTGGTCAGGACTAGACAAGTTGTTGAAATTAGTTAATGACTTGTTCGGCTGCGCGGTTGTGCCACCAAGTGCATACATGCTCCAGAAGCTGTGGGCCAAAAAAAAAAGACAACTTAGTGAAGTATCACTACCTGTTTCCTAGCTGTGGTACAGTCCTTAAGGCTGGTCATACACTTGCAAGTTCCGATGTTTGTCAATTTGAGGAGAAGACAGAGGGGCTAAGGCACGATGGCTATTTTTTCTTAATGCTTGACCTTCACCAACAACTCAAGCATCTGATTGAAAAAACGAGTGTTGACCTTCATAATAGCTTCTTAAAGCTTGAATCCAGCAACTCTGACCTCATCACGGACATTACAACGGGTGCCGCGTACGAGACCTTGCACCAGAAGGTTGCATTAGGCCAAAGTGACCTGATGTTAACCTTTAACACTGACGGAAGCCCTTTTTTAAATCTTCCAAAACGTCAGTGTGGCCTATACAGTTCACCGTGAACGAACTGCCTCCATCTGTCCGCTTGCACCATACAACTCTAGCTGCCCTCTGGTTCGGAAAATGCCACCCAGATATGTCGGCTTTCCTAACGAAGTTTGTTGATGAGGTCAACAACATGATTCCTGTGGCATGGACACAAGGCGATCGCAGTCATGCATTGAGAGCATTTGTGTTGTGCTGCAGCGTGGATGCCCCTGCGCGTGCTGCAGTACAGAACATGGTGTGTTTCAACGGCTTCTTCGGCTGTCCGTTCTGCCTCATGAAAGGCGAGCATAAGGAAGGTAGGAGTTACTTATTTTACTAATAGTAATTACTTCAGTTCAGAAATGTGTATATGATCACATCTCCATTGTTGAGTTCAATGTAGCACACTGCTTTCATTTGCAGGATGTCTACGTTATGTCGCTGATGAGGCACCAGCTCCAATGACATCGGGGCTCCTTGTTCGAGATATGGTGCTGGCGCAGAACTGGGGGACCCTGTGAACGGCGTCAAGGGTCCATCTGCACTCATGAACATTAAAGGTAGTTTTTGTATGTGGTATGTGTTGTGTCTAAACCAACTTGGTATAATTTTTCCCTAGGCTTTGACCTGGTTGAAGGAATGAGGGCCGAGTATATGCACTGCGTTCTCCAAGGGGTAGTGCAGCAGTTCACGGAGCTGCTTTTTTCATCTTCCAGCTCAAGGCAGCCCTACTACATGGGTAACTACTGACACTTTTTTGATGTCTGGCCATGCATGAAAGAAGTCCTAAATCTTATTTAGTTGCTGTTTCCCAACTACAGCCTAAATGCAGATCTTGTGTCGCAAGGTTCTTGCCGTAATCCTTTATTGCGCTCTGCATGCATACAACGCAACACTGCTAGCACGAGGAAACAATCACCTGTTTTTCCTGTGTTTAATCGCTGTAATCAAAACTGATGGATGATTAAGAGTGTTCTCTCGGGACTCTAGCCTGAGTGGTAAACATTCGTTCATGTCGATGCATTGTTTTAGCAAATGTGAAAAAGCACCGATGCCGGTTTTGCTCTTGCAGAGTGTACGGTTGTAAATAAAGATGTCGTAAACCTGACGAAGATTCAAACTTAACTTTGCAACTTTCGAACTCTGCTGACATTCGATTTAGAAAAGTGTGCAATCTTTGAACACGGCCAAAGTTAGAACTTGCCAACTTAGAAGCTTTGAAGGTTTCTGTAAACTCGAGTTTGAATGTTTTGACTTCGTTTAAGAATAAAGTTTGCAACATCTGTATAGTTTCATTTTTTTAATTTAGGATAAATAGATTTGAAGTTTCTTTCAGGCCCAGGTTTGTCAGGTTCGGAGTCTTTGAATATCAGAGATGTCCAGGTTTTACAGTTTTGAAAATCATATGTTTGTTTTGTTTATGTTTCCTAGACCCAATCTTGATACACAACCGTATTGTGTTTCACTTTGAACTTGACACATGAGCTATGTCAAGATTCCAGGCGAGGCCACAAAGCGTAAAAAGCTACCGCTGAATGTTTACAGTAAATGTAAAGAACTTAAAATCTTTATGAGAAATATCTCAAGGCAGGCATAGCACAATCAACACAATCAAAGGTAAACGTCCCAAAAGCATTCCACTGAAGCCAACAGCCCCGTTTCAAATGAAACTTTTTGTTGATGAAAAGTAGCTCATGGCATGTTTACAGTGAAAACAGAGAACCCATTCGATGTAACCCAAGGTGGAGGCCAATACCTGCGGCAACAAATGCTATGCAAGCAAAATCGCCTCAAATCACTCGGCTGACTTAGCCACTGCGCATGTGACATTGCACGAAACGGTTGAAACGAGCGAAGACATGAAGCAACTGCCTTTCCAGTTTTAACAGTTATTATGCAAAATAGTTCGGCCACGGATTGGCTTGTTTACTTCTTTAACAGGGAGGCCTGGGAGAGGCTTTGTTACAACTATCAGTTACCAATGCATGGTTGATGGTAATTTGCAGCAGTTGTTAAGGTGGCCATGCAATCATACTTAAGACTGTAGTTTTTTTGCGGTTTCTATCTCTGTGGTGGTCTGGGCATCCCGGGGGAAGAAGAAAATTACAAAATATTGCAGCATATTGGAATCGGACAACGTGTGGCGCTGAATGCGTGCAGCCAGTGACGTTAGTGAGAAACCTTGCCGTAGGCCAGATCCATTAGAAGACCTTTTTTTTAAAGTCAAAATAAATATTATAATAGGGCGAGCTAGCTGTTAAAATTTTTTATAAAAGTAGATTTTCGCGAGTATAGAGATACACAAGAAATATTAAAAGTTTAAAAAGTATGTGAACGCACAACGAAAAACGACACCTCATTGAAACGCAGCAGTGGAAAAGGCAGCACAGGCACACAAGCGGTTTAGCAAACAATGCACCTAACCACATTTTTTGGCGCTTTGCTCCTACATTGGCCTGTTGCATGCTTGAACAAGAGGATGTCTTTTTTCTTTTTTTATAACTTCCATTTGGCTGTTTATAGTTTGTATTTGCTACTCCCTATTGGAAAACCCCAATATAAACAGCGTATTATGGATATTGGTAAACAATATATTTTTATTGTATTGCAATACAATATAGACAGTGTATTGGAAAACATTACATTTATTGTATTGTATTACACTAAGGATTTGTTATGGGATTCCAATATCCATAATACGCTGAAAATATTGGAATCCAATACCGTATAAACCCTTATTGGATCCCCATGTGTCGAATGGGGATCCAATAAGGGTTTATGATTCCAATATACTCAGCGTATTATGGATATTGGAATCCAATATATTATATCGGCTACCAATAAAACTATATGCGAG